CACACACACACACACACACACACACACACACACACACACACACACACACAGAGTTTAGAGCAGTACTTAAACCTCTTATTATTTTGGCTAATGATATGTTTTTAAAAACAAGTTTCTTTATTGCACATCAGAATTTGTATTAAAACTTTGCTGGAAAATATTCCATTTTTTTGGTGGCACAAAGAGTAATAAACTTCTGAGCAAAATCCTGCTTTCTTTACTTATAGAACCCATTTTGAAGTCAATGGGACTGCTTGTATGAGCCAGGAAAGCAGGATTTGGGCCAATATCTATAAAGAAATGATGCATAAATCAGTGGTCTAAAACCACTATCTCTAGGTCTAGGTAATCTTTCAGTCTTCTGGAGTGAGGCATTGTAATCCTACAATCTACTTTTGGAACTAAAAACCACACACAACTGTAATTCTGATTTTTCTTTCTGGGGAAAATAATCCAGTTAAATATAATAGTAGCTTTAGATGTTTGGAGGAAATTTAGTGGAATTCCTCTCTCTAACACATAGCCTAGTCATTTCTATGTCCTCTCACTTTGTGGCAGTTCTGTAGCAGCCAAAAACTGTTCCAAATACTTTATGTTCAGGTTTTTGTTGGCTTGCTTCAACCCTAGTTTATGGCCTAGGTTTATATCTTGGTCCTTCTGAAATACTTGTATTGTTTCTATGGGTGATTTGAAACCAGCTGAAATATTAAACTTGGTTTCTTTCCAGTATTGAATGATATAGAGGAAGGAAGCTACCAGTGACTTTGAGACATTGTGTATACTAGACCTTTTTTGCCCAAAAAAATTCTTGTGATTACTACCAGAGTTTAAGTTGCACTGGTGGTAGTGTAGTCAGTGCTCCAGATGGCTACCAATGTCTTAACTATCATGTTGACTAGAACAGCTCAGAGGAAATGCCTAAAAAGGTTAATTTTATCATAAAAAGGTTTTGCATTAGTGTCCTTATGTAAACTGGTTTGAACCTTGATTGTGGTCTTCACTGAAAGCGAGTAAGAATGGGTGAGTGAGAAATGCAGTCTTGTAACTTGTTTGGGGCTGTCCATCGGACTAATTTTGTGTAAACTGCATTACATATTCAGAGATGTGACTGTGGTCTTAAAATGCAACAAGCTTTGAATCACTTCTGCTTGTAATCTAAACTTCCTATGTTACTGGCCATACAGGTGGATTTGAATAGATGGAGATATGGACACTGGATTAGGAATTGAAGTCCTGAGTTTTAATGTTGGCTCTGCCACTACTGGGCTATGGCGTAGAGCAAGTCACTTCATCTTTCTGCATCAGTTTTCCTGTCTGTAAAATGGCAATAATACTTGCCTATCCCATGTGGATGGGTGCAGATTCCAAGTTCTGCACCATCAATCATCAAAGAGCTATGTCAATTCTATGTAATTTTTAAAATAAATCTTTTAGCTTACTTGCAGGATAAAAAAGTTTGTGCTCTAAAGGAAGAGGAAGAATTGGAGGGTTGGGTTGTGACTATAGAGGAGGAAACAGAACTCTTCTAAATCTATGTTCTGTATTGTGGCACCTAGTACAACTTCAATGTTTTGTGCACATGGTGTCTGTCTTAAATTCATTTGGACAGGCTGGCAAACTATAGAACAATGAAATGTTAACTTGGTCACAATACCTTTTGCCTAAAACAATTGTTAGTGACTAGAAGTAAATATTTGTTTCATGGATTAGCAGGTCATTGGATATCATTAATCTAGCAGACCAAAGCTCTGTCCTGACCAGTTTGCTGAACAGTTTATAGAACTTCAAAAGCAGTAGATAAAGATACTTCTTTAAGTATATTTTCCTTCATGTTCTTTTCAATTAAAAGAAAATGTGCTGTCTTGTTTTTGTTTTGTTTTTTTAAGTGCTGCTTTAGATGGTTACAGTGACTTTCTGTGTATATGTAAAGTTCTGGGTAAAGAGATCCAGTCTTCTAATATAGCCTTGTCAAATGTATTAGTACATTTGAGATACTAGTAGATGCTCAGCTGTTGAAAGTACAGCAACAGTGTACGCATACAGATTGACGAGACCTATACTACTTTGTACTTCTGTTCTTGTGGAATTGTGATAGCTGAAAACCAGCTGCTATCAAATGTCTACATATAAACCTCATCACGACATCCGGGGAGCATATTCAAATAGTTTTCCCATTTTTGGCCTTGGTCATTGTTTGTCTAATGCTATTTTCTCTCACTGCTCAAGGGCACTGTAGCTTAGATTAGTTTTCACATGCAATAATGGTACAAAATGGAAAATGAATTTAGCTATTTATTGGCCTTTTTCATATACACAGATGTGATGGACTTTTTGTAAATTAGTGTAGTTCTTCTAAGTTTGTCACCTGAAGGGAGACTTTTCCAATTAGCATTATTTTTATCCTTGTGAGCAATCATGGAGAATATGGCACAGAATTAACTTTTTTTTTAAATTGGGCTTTTACAATTAAAAATAGTGTTCATTTAGTCCTCCTTCTCAGATCCTACCTCTCACGCATGGCCTTTCTGCTTATTAACTGGTATACACTGAGTAAGGTTGTAACGTTCTTGCTGGCTTATTGACACTGTTACTCTCTTTATGTGCACTATTGCTTCTAGTTGCATAAGCAGTTCCTGCAGGAATTGCAGCTTGCTTTTTTACTGCAGGGACATACTAGAAAGGGACTGTTGTAATGATTCCATCCACTGACAAGATCAGTTCTAACTAGCTAGTAATCAAAGCATTCAGATTCTTCGTTTCCTTCAGAACTTGTATGCTTTATTTCACAATAAATGAAATTAGAGACTTTCCACATTAAGAATAGAAATGGACTTGATACAAGGATTATACTAACCAATTAGAAATTGTTAAACACAGCATATAAAGAGATGTACAGAAATGTGAGTTAGATTAACAAGTTTCAACAGGTTTATTTGCCTCCACAAACCAATTTCTTGGGCCGATTCACAAAATGGTGGTGGTGACAGAGCGGCTGTTCATTTTGCTGTGACTTGAAAACCAGGAATAACAGAATAAGAGGGAGTAGAAGGGGGAATGAATTTGGGATTAAAAAACCCAATGAAGATGCTGGGGGGGGAACAATGAAGATGCTGGAGAGAATAGCCAGCTACATAGCTCTGGGTTCATGCTTATTCTTTAGCATCTTCAGGAGCATCTTCCCTATTTACTGTCCTATCTTTGGCTACATTTTTGGAAAACTGTTCCTGGCATAGGATGGAAAGGATTTTCTCAAATGTTTGCATTAATATCTAGTAGGTAGAATATATAAAGTCAATCCCAGGACAGAAAATATCTCATGTGAATGTCATCACAATTCACAAATGGGGATTCAGAACTTGGTATCTTAATGGTTAGCTGATCATATTGTTATGAGGCTATGGAAAAAATAAGCCAATATACTATTCAAATCTAAAATTGACCTCTGCACTGTATGACCATGTTTAGAATATAGCATTAGAACTTTGCAATGACTAGCATATTTGTAGGAGTGCATTACATTCACGATTGGTCCCTAACAAGTGGGTACAGCAGTCTTTGTATTAACTTCAAATATTTTCTTTTAACTTTGAAAATTCTCTGTATTTTTCCCATCTTTGGATTGCTGAGGACTAACTTTAGCTATTTCTTTTGTGCCAAATATGATACTGTGTAAGCAAAGAATTTCTGGAGGGGAAAGTCAAAGCCAGTAGCCAATATCGGTGCCTGAGAACCACAGTAGTTTGTGGGTTTTTTGATACATGGAAAAGTTTTGAAATGTATATTCTCCAGTTGCTTCTGGAACTCATTGAGCTTCTAGTAGGCCATGTTCTGTCCATACTATCTCAAGGTGTTCTGAGAAGTAACTTCATGGAAACATAAAATGTGTTCATTTCTGTTTTTCAGAGACTTGTACCAAACAGATTTATTTAGTGCTTATACAAGTCTGAATTATTTTAGCAGTTCAAAGTGAATTTTATAACACATTTGTAGAGAATATTGCAACTTACAAAAGCTATAGGAAATGCTGATAGTATCATTTAACTGAACACTTACTGAGCAGTTATTCAGCAAACACCTAAAAAACTTGTTGATATAGAGTGATTGCTTATAAATCATTACTGAATAACTAAATTCTCTAACTTTGTTTTGAATCCATAGTTGGTGACAAGGTTCCTGCTGATATAAGACTTACTTCTATCAAATCTACAACTCTAAGGGTAGACCAATCAATTCTGACAGGTAGGCTGTATCATTTTTGAGTTATGTAAGTATATGTTTAGAATTGGTTTTGATTCACTGTCAGGCCCAAGTTGCTTAAGTAATGTGGTTTGCTTGGTTACTGTATCATAACGGCCAACGGCTGTTGAACAATATGATCTTGCAATCTCATATTGCAATGATGAACATATACTACTAAATACTTGGCTATATAGATTCAACTTGTGGGAGACTAATGAGTTTTCTTCTTTATGGGGTTTCTGAAGTTTTATTGGGATTGTTGGCAGATACATTTATGTAAAATGAAACTACATCAGAGAGGATACCATAATTGGGGCTACTGATTTGTAGCCAATCATATATAAAAATATGAAGTACTGGGTTATACTAGCAATTGCTTTGTGCAGATGCAAAACCTTCGGGTATACCTCCACTGCTACAATGATCAACCCCCTCCCCAACACATAACACCCCTTTCAAGATCCATGGGTTCTACACATACTTACCACAACATGTGATGTACTTATCCAGTGCACTAAATGCCCCAATAGCAGTTATGTGGGTGAAACCAGACAATCATTACACTCTCAAATGAACTCTCACAGGAAAACAATAAAAGACAAAAACAAATCACTTGTGGGTGAACATTTCTCACAAAACAATCACTGTATCTGACCTATCCTCAAAGGAAACCTGCAAAACACTTTCAAAAGACAAGCCTGGGATCTTAAATTCATAACTTTGCTAGACACTAAAAATCATGGACTGAACAGACACACTGTTGTAATAAGCCATAAATCCAATCTGTAACCCCCTAACAAACCCCCACCCCCTTCCTTTCCTCTGGAGGAGTGTTAACAGGTCACTTCACCTTGAATGTTTCCTTGAGGTCTGTTAATTACTTATGCTAATCTGTTCAAACCTTGTATTTAGCAGTGATACTTTATGCGAGGGTTTCCCAGACCTGAAGAAGAGCTCTATGTGTAAGCTCGAAAGCTTTTGTCTCTGTCCAACAGAAGTTGGACCAATAAAAGATATTCCCTCACCCACCTTGTCTCACTAGCAATTGTTTGCCATTTATGGAGTTCACTCGGTTTGAACGATCAAGCATTTTCTGTGTATTACCCAGATATAAGTAACTTTTTTTTTTTTAAAGTTACGGAAGCTCATATTAAATGAAGTATGTTATGCAACATGTGATACTGTAGTACTCTTAAATGCTGAATCTGCCAAACATCAGTTTTCCTCGTTTATAAAAGCAAATCTGAATTTATTTTTTGTTTGACTTCAGGGGCCTGTCTTGTGCATGGCTTAACAAAATTGTCTTATTGACCTTATGATAGCAAACATACAAAAATTCAGAAAAATGTGGTCAAACACCCTGAGTTCTGAAGACCCTATCACTTGTTTACACCTCTCCTTTCATGGCTACACAGTGGTCAAAACCCTTTGTTTGAGGTATGGGGAGTTTTACATAATATATAAACTTTTTAAGACTTTGTTATCCAGATTGACCTAGGATGACGAGAAGCAGAAACTGGGGCTTAGTAGAAACTCTTGCTCAATTTCTCTTCAAGAGACCCTAGGTTTCAATAAAATGAATTTTTCCTGTCTGGGTGAATTTCTAACTACTAAGGTGGTTTTTTCTTTTCTGGGTTTCTAATTTAGCAGAGCAGCCAGACTTAAGAAATTTCACCCTGATCAGGGAGATGAAGGGGAGTGTCTTAATTAAATGGTACTGTAGTGTGTTTCTTCAGGATTCACACACAGTGAGAAGCTCCTCTGAGCTACAACTTCTACTTCTCATTGACCTAGCTGTCAGTCTTGTAACTGAAAGAGAAAGTGGTAAGCTTGGAAGTGCTGAAAGCTACATAAACTAACTCTTTCAAAACTTGCTTTGATACTCAGTCCAAACAGTGGCTTGTAAAGATGTTTTCATTTTGAAAATGTGTACTGAACAAACCTTATATAGTATGCTATAATCTGCTATTAGTATGGCCCTGGAATCCAGATATTACACTCTACCACCTGAGGCTTGTGATAAGCCAGATTTAACACCTTAAAATCACAGGTAACTCAATAAATGCAATAGCAACATGTGGCTTTTATGAGAGATTGACCTTGCAAAGAAGTGCATTCAGCCATGTGTAGATTTCAAAAACATACTGTCTAACTAAGGACACTGTTCTCGTCCAAACCTTCCCTCCCCCCTCCCCCACCCAAGTACTGATTGCGTCCTGTGCTCTTACGCCCCCTTAAAACTGTTTTAGAGTACTTGAAAACATGTACATTCTAATCTATAGCTTTTGTGGATTAATTTAAAATTAATAAATGGGAATAATAAGTAATAAGAGGAAAAAGGAGGCTAGAGTGTTTCTGGCAGATGCCTAGACATCTGGACATGAGCCCCACTTGTCCATAGTCCATTCAAGGCATGTAAAAATGATTGGGTTGTCTTTTCTCAACAGCAGTGAATGATTAGACAAATGAATTAATAGTTTATCTTCCTTTTATTTTGGATTTCAGTTTTACCTAATGTCCCTCTTAATCCTTCCCAACATTCATAGCTTCATTATTTCGGCCTCTGTAGTGACTATCATCCTCTGAGGCTGTAATGCTTTTCTCTAGGCTGTTCCTTTTCCTCCTCACTCCCAACAAAGATGATAGGCTCTTTATGCTCAAGGACAAAGTCCTGGGCTATAATGAATAGCATTGGGCAGTCTGGTAGTTTTGATTTGTAACACCATTAAGGGGGAGAGGGGAAGGGTAAATCCTGGAATATAAATGTAACCTATTAACTGTCACCATTTTCTTCTTCATTGGCCCCTTCCACTTCTCTCTAACATATTTTATTTGATCAGTTTCTCAAATTTGAAGGCAACTAATAAAACTTAATACAGAAATTTGAAAATATTAATATTAGCCAGTCTGAAATATGGCATAACACAAAGTTACTGTAGTGCTAAACTGGCCTCTGAAATTTGGATGATTTTTTTTTTTCCAGAAAACTCATTCTCTGTTTATCCTATTCCACCCGAGATAAATATAGAAAGAAAACGAAAGCTTTTTTAAAAAACAAAATGTTGTTAGTGTCAGCTACTTAAAATGGGCTGTTTAGCTCCCTGCTCTCTCTTAAAATAAAGAGCCTGGCTTAAACTCTAAATGTTACTTAAACTTTGGAGGTACTTATTCCAAAAATATGAATAGCTTGCTTTATGTATGCTTTTTTTTAATGTGAATTCTCATGTCACTGAAGTATATAGTATTGTATCTGTCTGGCTTTTGATTATATTAATCAGTCCAGTTACTTTCCTGATGCTTTACAGGGAATTATTCTTAATTATTTTGCATCCTTTTATAGAATTTTATATCGGAACAGCAAGCAAGAAATTTCAGTTGGTAGATCACTTTTGCAGTGTCCAAATTCAGTGTGTACTTTTGATTAAGGAAAAAAACAAATGAATTTATTTATAAAGAGACCAACTGTTCCTCTTTTCATAAACAGAGGATTTATCTTAAAAATAAGATGCTAAATGTAACTAGAAACCTTTCGTCATGAGGAAACTGTTCAGTACCTAAGTTTAGTTTACCATCTAGAATTTCTGGGCAGGAGATCAAAATGTACCTTTCAAAGGTGGTAATGAAGAATACAGTAGATTTATATGCCCTTTTCTAGTTAGTGTCTTAGATCTTTTCTTTGACATCTTATATAGGCAAGAATAAGGTCAGATTAGACTAAACTGCTCTTGTTCAGAGAACCAGCAGACAAGTGCATTCTTTACTGAAGTTACAGAACCTTTAGGGCTAAGACTAGGAAGAAGAATTGTAGGAAAGAGAATGGACCTTAATCTAACAGGATCTTGTATGGACTCCTACCTTCCATTGGAATTAATTTCTTATCAATATTTTCAGACTCTATCTGAAAAATCTTTTCTGGTAGTATTTGTTGTGTAAACCCACATCAGGCATAGGGTCTGAATGTTTTAAAATCTTAAAAATGAAGGAAAACCATGAACTCACTTGTGTATAAATTGTAATTCTTCCCTTTGAGTCCTTTTTAATAAAGCCTTAGATTTCAATCTACTTTAAAAGAAACAGGAAGTGTGGCTATGGAAACCATTAAAACTTTATTGAAATGCTATAAGAAAAGTATATGCAAGTGCCATGACAAGATAAATACAATTTTAAGGAGTTTAAGCTTATACCATATTTTCTATTAGATCAGTTTACAAGTAAAGTTAAAATTACACATACGAACTCCCATTAACACTATAACCTTTATTTAGGGGAATCTGTATCTGTCATTAAGCATACTGATCCTGTGCCTGATCCTCGTGCTGTGAACCAAGACAAGAAGAACATGCTTTTTTCTGTAAGTAATTTTTTTTAAGTTATGAGAGTTAGTGACTTACAGCAATATAGAATTTACCAAATGAACGCTAGTGGAGCTTTTTAAGTCTTAGAATTTCAAGAGTTATTCAGGTTAAATAACACTATAAATAGTATATACATGCTACCTTTGCTGTACTCTACCAAACATAAACTGCTGTCTGCAGCAAGCGCCTCAGATTGATTAGAAACCAAGAGGAAATCCTGTCTGCTTTATTAAAATGAATCCTTAAGGAAAGGATTTCTCAATCCAAATAAACTCGAGAAATTTAACTTCTACTTTTGGTGCAGAAATTTGCATACATCCTAGAAAAACATTTAAAAAAAAAGACTTTTACCAGTGTGTGTGCACTTGGAAACTAATTGTGAAATCCATGTCATTTCACCTCTTAAGAACTAGCAATATTTCATAAAGAGGAATGATTTGAATTGAGCTTCCCTCATTTGTATACTGTGTCTGAATATTCAGTGAGAACTAGAAGCTTAATTTTAGTCTATGCACCATTTCATTGCTTCATACAGACTGGACAAAAAATTTGAATGCTTTAGGATGCTTAAGTATTAAATAGTAAATGAATGATTATAGGTTATTGGTAAACTTTGCTTTTCAAGGTCTGATTCTGCCATTCTTTCTCTCTCTGAATATATTCATGAAGGCACCCATTTGAGCCCAGGAATATTCGGTGCGTGTACCAGGTGGCAGAATTGGGCTCGAGTTAGCAAAATATTAAATTCTTTCCTTGCGATTTAAGGGTGACCACTACCATGGCTGTAAGCCCATTGACTTGAGTGGAGTTGTGCTTGCTTACCCAAGGACTGAATTTGGACATAGGTCTTAGAAGAATTTTGTCATGCTGCATGTTATGAGTCAATATTAATAGTTCTTCATTGGCCCATCCTTTAAGGAAAGTCTGCATATTTGGATTTATTGGGGAATATTAAACTTAAAGAGAAATGTAACTGAAACTCCAAGCAGTCTGGACTTATTAAGGTGGTTCTTATGAAATATAGAAAAATAGATATTGTAGGTACAAATGGCTAGTCTGGACATAGAAATAGATTGATTCACAAATGTTAACATGGTTAAGGGAGGCAACATTTTTTAGTCTTGCCTACTTAAGGTTTTAGGACTTACTGGTGTTTGATGTAACATTTCAAACTTTCTATGCAAAGAATTTTTTCACTCACTTCCTACCTGCTGTTTTAATCCTCTTTCCTAACTTTCAAAACAGTAAGGAAGCTACTCTGGTGTTAAGAGCACATTTGATTTACTGATGATCTCTTGGTAAACGTGACACTGCTAACATTAACCCTTCATAACACTATCACTCTGTATTTCCAGTACTATACTGCATGAACTAGATCTTACATTTACATGATGGTGATGGCAATTAATGTTTGTAGTAGGCTTTTTGTAGGTGGCTATCTATCTTGTACTCAGAGCAGGTGGCAGTGAAAGCATTGGGGAATCTAGCTTAATCTACTAGCAGCTTCTCTGGAATTGAGTCTTGAACAGTTTAAAAAATTAGAAAAGCAGGTGTATTTCAAACTGATAGCATAATATATACAGGTCTCCCACTCATTCCTCTTCCCCCATAGAAGCTCTTTTGGCTTTGATGTTTAGCTAGAAACAGACACAATTGTTAATGGAAAGCTCCTTGACTACACAGTACTTTGGCTTTACTTTTAGTTTCAAGCTTAAATGACTGTTACAAATTGTTACATTAAATGACTAAGATTTCTTTAACTAAAAGAGTAAAAATTCTTCAGTGTATCCATTTTACTTCATATTGTGTTATCACTTTTTCTTATATAATTAGCTTCCCCTTTTGTTTTATGTGGATCTTCCACAGGTTAATAAGGAACATACCTTTTGGTAAGGGTACTCGTGCCCTTTTAAGGACTAATGTATACCACCTTACTGACCTCACAAAGAATGGCTGTCAAAATAGAATCCAAAATAACTTATCAAGAACTGATAACAGTGAAATATGTGAACCACATGAGCATTGCATCTTAAATTAGCCAAAATCAGAGAACAAACTTTCAGATAGAACTTAATGTCTTAGCAGAAAAAGTTATCTGTGAATCTGATATGCAACAGGCCTACTTCAATATTGTCACAGAACGACTTACGAATCTCTTTTCCCTTCTTTTTTCGATTCCATTTTAGGGGACTAACATTGCTGCTGGTAAAGCTATGGGAGTAGTTGTAGCAACAGGAGTGAACACTGAAATTGGCAAAATTCGTGATGAGATGGTAGCTACTGAACAAGAGAGAACACCACTGCAACAGAAACTGGATGAGTTTGGAGAGCAGCTGTCCAAAGTCATCTCACTCATTTGCATTGCTGTCTGGATAATCAACATAGGTCACTTCAATGATCCAGTTCATGGTGGCTCCTGGATTCGAGGCGCTATCTACTACTTTAAAATTGCTGTTGCTCTTGCTGTTGCTGCTATCCCTGAGGGTCTGCCTGCTGTTATTACCACATGCTTGGCCCTAGGAACCCGCAGAATGGCCAAGAAGAATGCTATTGTTAGAAGTCTGCCATCCGTTGAAACGCTGGGTTGCACGTCTGTTATTTGTTCTGATAAGACTGGTACTCTCACAACCAACCAGATGTCAGTTTGCAGGGTACGGTGAATTGATTAATTTATTCTGCATTTCCTTTATTCCCCCCCCCCCCAGGTTCTCTTATTAAACGTTGCCTAAATTCTGTTCCTATATAAAACAATGTAATCAGCTTTGCTTTTATGCCGTCAAAATCTTGCTTTATTTGCTACAGTACTATTCCACTTTCAGTTCAGCTTTTCACCACGTAATGTTTAAGATTTTCATCTTTTCTTTATTTAGTTATGGCCAAAAATAGCTGTACCTACGCTTGATGGGAACGTTTTTCATTTGCAAATACCTTTCTCTTAACTGTCTTATGCCACACAGTTTTAAAAACGGGGCCATTTTCCTTAGGACAATCTGTCCACACGTCCAGAAGTATAGAACAGGTTGTATATCAGAAGGCAAGTGAATAGACATCTTGCTTTATGAAGGTGGGCCCTTGGAGATCTTTATAGAGTGAGAGAATGCTACAGACTATGAAGTGTTTAATATTCTTATACAGTCTGACTGTACGCTGTTGTTCCTTTTGATTTACTTCATACTGGGCATCGTTGCTCCTAACTCTGTACTGACTCTCAGACATCCACTCTAGCAGATAGACATGAAAAAAGAAAAGGGGCAGCGTCAATGGGAATATGACCAAATTACAGCAACTTCCATGTCCTATTAAACTGTCCCCTTTACCCCCTTTCTAACTTTCACCTCAGTTCTGTAATTCATCAGCTCTTCCTCACTGAGGTTGCCTGCACTAGCAAAAATGGGATCCGTAATTCACCACCATTGCAACTCCAAAGGTGGAAGCTGTAATATAATAGATGGGGCTCAAGTGAGCACAGGAGTTTTTACCGCCATATAGCATCAGATCCTATGAAAGGATGTACCTCCCTCTGTTTATCCCATCTTCTCTAGCTTTATACTTGAATATTTCAAATCTATGCAGTATTTCAAGTACACTGTATTGTAAGATTCATTTGGTAGACCAGAATTCAGATCTGAGATGCCTTCAGATATGAAAATCATGCACTGATTCAATTGCCAATGTCACTTTTGATACTAGACGGGAGTAAAGCAACTGACTGATTTTGTTCTTCAAAAAATAGTTTCTAATGTTGATTAAAGTAGTATACCATAGGGTTACCATCCGTCCGGGTTTCCCCGGACATGTCCGGGTTTTTCAGCTTTAAATGGCCGTCCGGGGGGAGATTTCTAATCAAGAAGAAATGTCCGGGATTTCCCCCTTCCCCTCATGCAGAGTGCGGCGTGGCTGATTGGACGCCTGGCCTGATTGAAAGCCGCTCACAGCCACTGGGGCCTCTAGCAGCCAGAGTCCCTCCCCCTCCCCCACTCCCTCCTCCTCCTCCACAGAGCAGCGCAGCAGTGTTTGAGTCCATGTGGAGCCCGCAGTTCTCCCTCTGCCGGGGGAGTGGGGGGAGCAGGGC